CAGGGTTGTTTTGTCTATCCTTGATCTTTTGTTTTACCATATAAAGTTGATTATTATCCTTTGAAGGTAAGTGAAGAATTGTGCTGGGATTTTAATGAGAATTGCATTGAATCTATATAGATTGCTTTTGGCAAGATTGCCATTTTTACTATGTTTATCCTGCCTATCCAAGAGCATGGGAGATCTTTCCATTTTCTGGTATCTTTTTTAATTTCTTTCTTTAAACACACAAAGTTCTTGCTATATAGGTCTTTCACTTGTTGGGTAAGTGTTACCCCAAGATTCTTCATGTTGTTTGTGGCTATTGTAAAGGGTGATGTTTCTCTGATTTCTTTCTCAGCCCCTATGTCCTCTGAATAAAGTAGGGCTACTGATTTTTTTTTTTTTTTTTTGAGTTTTTCTTGTATCCTGCTAGATTGCTGATGGTGTTTATCAACTGTAGGAGATCCCTGGTAGAGTTTTCTGGGTCGCTTATATAAACTCTCATATCATCTGCAAATGGAAAAATTTTGACTTATTCCTTTCCAATTTGTATCCCCTTCATCTCCTTTTGTTGTCTTATTGCTTTAGCTAGAACTTCAAGTACAATATTGAAGAGATATGGAGAGAGGACAGCCTTATCTTGTTCTGATTTTAGAGGAACCGCCTTAAGCTTCTCTCCATTCAGTGTGATGTTAGATGTTGCTTTACTGTATATTTCTAATTATGTTTAACTGTTATCCCGGATCCCTCTAAGACCTTTATCCTGAAAGGCTGTTGAATTTTGTCGATGGCTTTCTCAGCATCTAGGCAGATGTGGTTTTTCTTTTTCAGTTTGTTTATAAGGTAGATCACTTTGATAGGTTTTCGTATGTTAAGTCATCCCTGCAAAACAGGGATGAAGCCTACTTGGTCATGGTAGATGATTTTTCTGATGTATTCTTGGATTCGGTTTGTCAGTAGTTTTGCATCAATGTTCATGATGGATATTAGTCTGTAATTTTTTTCTTAGTTGTGTTTGTGTGGCTTGGGTACCAAGGTGATTGTGGCCTCATAAAAAGAGTTTGGTAATGAACCTTCTGTTTCTATTGTGTGGAACAATTTGAGAAGTATTGGTGTTAGCTCTTCCTTGAATTTCTGGTAAAATTCTGCACTGAAGCCATCTAGCCATGGGCTTTTTTTGGTTGGAAGGCTCTTGATGACGGCTTCTACTTCATTATGGGCTATAGATCTATTTATGTTGTTTGTTCTTGGTTTAATTTTGGTAAGTGATAGTTATCCAGAAATTTGTCCATTTCCTTTGAATTTTCATATTTTGTGGAATACAGGTTTTCAAAGTATGACCTGGAAATTGTCTGGATTTCCTCTGTGTCCATTGTTATGTCCCCCTTTTCATTTCTGATTTTGTTAATTTGCATGTTCTCTCTCTGCTTTTTTTTTTTTTTTTTTTTTTTTTTTGCTGAATTTCTCAAAAAAACAACTGTTTGTTGCATTGATTTTTTTTTCGTATTTTTTTTTCTGGTTTCTCTTTACTGATTTCAGCCCTGAAATTGATTATTTCCTGGTGTCTAATTCTCTGGGGTGAGCTTACTTCTTTTTGTTCTAAGGCTTTCAGTTGTGCTGTTAATTCTCTACTTTGATTATCCTCCATTTTCTTCATATGGGCACTTAGTGCAATGAACTTCCCTCATAGCACAGCTTTCAAGGTGTCCCATAAGTTCAGGTATGTTGTGTCCTCATTTTCCTTGAATTTTAGGAAGTCCTTAATTTCTTTCTTTATATGTTCTATGACCCAGGTATGGTGCAATTGCACATTGTTCAGTTTCCATGCGTTTGTAGGGTTTCTGCAATTTGTGATGGTGTTGAATTCCAACTTTAAAGCATGGTGGTCTGATAAGATACAGAGGAGTATTCTAGTTTTTTGTATCTGTTGAGGTGTATTATTATGCCTAGCATGTGGTCGATTTTAGAGAATGTTCCTTGTGGAACAGAGATGAAGGTGTTTGAATGAAATGTTCTATAGATGTCTGTTAAACACAGTTGAGACATAACTTCTTTTAGTTCTGTTGTTTCTTTGTTAAGTTTCTTACTGGTGGTCCTGTCTATCAGTGAGTGTGGGGTGTTGAAGTCTCCCACTATGAGTGTGTGAGGTTTTATGTGAGCATTGTGTTTTTGTAGCATTTCTCTTATGAATTTCGGTGCCTTTGTATTTGAGGCATATATGTTTAGAATTGAGAGTTCGGTCTGATCGATTTCTCCTGTGATAAGAACAAAATGACCATCTTCATCTCTTTTGATTGATTTTGGTTTGAAGTCTAACTTGTTAGATATAAAGATAGCCATACCTGCTTGCTTCTTGGGTCCATTTGATTGGAAAATCTTTTCCCAACCATTTACCCTGAGGTAATGTCTGTCTTTGAAGCTTAGATATGTTTCTTGTATGCAGCAGAAGGATGGATTCTGTCTTCGTATCCATTTTGTTAGCCTGTGTATATTTATATGTCAGTTAAGATCATTAATGTTGAGGCAAAGTAAGGACCATTGATTGTTAAATCTTGTTTGTTTTAGATGTTTTTGGCAGTGGTATTGAGAATATATTTGCCCTGCTTTACTTTTGGGTTCTGGGGGCGTGGGATTATCTATTGCCTATATGTTTGTGAGCATAGTTAACTTCCATGGGTTGTAGTTTTTTCCCCAGAATTTTCTGTAGGGCTGATTTGTATATACGTATTGTGAAAATTTGGCTTTGTCATTAAATATCTTCTTTTCTCCGTCTATAGTGATTGAGAGTTTTGCTGGGTATAGTAGCCTGGGCTGGCATCCATCTACTCTTAGTACTTGTAGAACATATATCCAGGACCTTCTGGCCCTTGCGAGTTTCCATGGAGAAGTCAGGTGTAATTTTGATAGGTTTGCCTTTATATGTTACTTGGCCTTTTTCCTTCTCTGCTCTTAATATTCTTTCTTTGTTCTGTATGTTAGGTGTTTTGATTATTATGTGTCGGAGGGGTCTTTTTTCTTTGGTGCAGTTTATTTGGTGTTCAGTATGCTTCTTTTACTTTCATGGGCATGTCCTTCTTCAGATTGGGAAAGTTTTCTTCAGTGGTTTTGTTGAATACATTTTCTGCACTTTTTGAGCTGAGCTGCTTTGCCTTCCTCTATGCCTATTATGCTTAGGTTTGGCCTTTTCATGGTGTCCCACATTTCCTGGATGTTTTGTGTTAAGGATTTTGTGGATTTAAGATTTTCGTTGGTCATTGAATCTATTTCCTCTAGAGATTCTCTCTTCCATCTCTTGTTTTCTATTGATTATGCTTGTAGTTCCCGATTGTTTGCCCAGTTTTTCTATTTCCAGCATTCCTTCAGTTTGAGTTTTCTTTATTGTCTCTATTTCAGTTTTCTAGTCTTGAACTGTTTCCTTCTCTGTTTAATTGTTTTTTCTTGGTTTTCCATACTTTCTTTAAGAGATTTGTTCATTTCTTCCAATATTTTGTTTGTTTTTTCTTCCAATTCTTTAAGGGATTTTCTTCCATCGTCTTTGAAGGCCTCTACCATTTTTATGACAATATTTTTTAAGTCATTCTCTTCTGCTTCATCTGCTTTAGGTTGTTCAGGTCTAGTTGATGTAGATTACCTAGATTCTGGTAGTGTCTTGCTTGTTTTTCTATTGTTAGGTGTTTTTTTGTATTTCCGTCTTCCCATCGCTTGTTCCAGTGGGCTCTCTCTCTCTCTCTCTCTCTCTCTCTCTCTCTCTCTCTCTCTCTCTCTCTCTCTCCATGGTGCTTATGTGGGTCAGAAGTTCGATATTTGTAGCTCTGGGTGGTCCAAACTCTCTATGAAATATCTCCTCATGCAGGGGTCTGGCAATGGAGGTCAAAGATCAGGCTCCAGCAGAGGCCCTGCGAAGGAGGTCAAAAATCCAGCAGGCAGGGACTTAGATGGTCCCAAGAGGATAGGCAGATATCTGGCTGGGGCCCAGAACTCTGGCAGAGGACTGGCAGTGGGGGTGAGAAATCAGGCAACTGGCGATTCAGGGTGGTCCCTCATGGATAGGCCGGTCTAGTGCGCTCAGATCAGCTCCGGGAAGTTCCTAGAATGTTGTCTCCGCCCTCTGTTCCAGTGCTCAACAAGAGTGGTGAGATAGTGGGCAGAGTGGGGAGAGGGCAGGCTCTTTGTGGGGTGAGGCGGGGAGGGGGGAGGTATCAGAGCACAGGGAGTACTCTAGCTAGGGACAGCACACAGGGGAGCGAGATTATGGGCCAATACAGGGATTTCCCAGGGAAGGGTGTTGGAGGGATTCAACCCAAACTGGTCCCAGACTCACCTCTAGAAGAAGCCCGGCAATGGGGGTCAAAGATCTGATAGGCAGGGACTCAGGATGGTTCTGCGGGGATAGGGAAACCTCTGGTAGGGGCTGGGAACTTCTCTCTTTTTTTTTTTTTTTTTAAATCAAAAATCAGGTGTCCGTTGGTGTGTGGACTTGTTTGGGTGCTAGATGTGTTTCCATTTATCAGTATGTTTGATTTTATTGGCAAACCATGCTGTTTTTATTATGGTAGTTCTGTAGTACAATTTGAGATTTGAAGATGGTGATAACTCCAGGAAGTCTTTTATTATTCAGGATATTTTATATTTAGAGACCAATATATATACACATATGTATTTAAGCATATATATTATACATATACTATATATGCTATTGTAAAAGATATTATTTGCATGATTTCACAGCCCATTTATATTTGTGCATAAACAGGCTTCTGATTGTTGTGCAAGACAACTTTAGTGAAAGTGTTTATCAGCTGAGGAATTTCCTGGTGGACTCTAGGGTCACACACACACACACACACACACACACATATGTGTGTATGTATGTGTATATATATATATATTCATATCATATGTGTGTGGTTAAAAATCCTTTAACTCCTTCTTTTCCTGTTTGTATTCCCTCGATCTCCTTCAATTGTCTCAGTGTTCTAGCCAAGACTTCAAATACTATATTGAATAGATATGGAGAAAATGGGCAGTGTTGTCTTGTTCCTGATGTTAGTGGAAATGCTTTGAATTTCTCTTTATTTAGTATGTTGTTAACCCATTATCAGACAGCTGGTCAAAAAGAAATGGCAAGAAACAATTTCAGAGTTCTCCTCACCAAATAAGAGATACAGCCTGTGAAGTCCCCGTTGTCAGCTTTGAAAAGCAGCTACATTCAGCTAAAGTTGCCTATGCCCCCAAGGGATGGCTACCCTTGGTCTGTCTCCCACATTTGGTAAGTTCTTTTGTTCTTGTCCTCAGTAAATGAGCAATGCTTGCTATGCCTAAGATACAGAAGGTATGTTTTTGTAAGCTTTTGAGCCAGGATGGGTGAGCTGAATGAGATGGTAGTTCATATGGGCATGAGTAGGTGTGGAACAAAGAAGAGCATGTATATAGTTGACACATATAGTGAAGACAGTAAAGGTGAAAATTAATCTTATGCTTTGATAAATATCAGAAAGGCAACAGCTTTACCTCTTGGGACTTCAGTTTCCTCACTCTGAAAATGGGACTACATAGAGGCTGAATATCCCTATTCTGAAAATTCCCTAATTTGAAAGTTTGTGATGGTAGCTATAATGCCACTTGTGGAAAATTCTATACCTTACCTCCAGTGACAGGTTACAGTCAAAATAGCTGTGTTGGAAAAGTACCTAAAATGATCTCCGGCTTTGTGTATAACTGTGAAGCATAAATAAATGTTTAATGAAGAGTCTCATTCCTAAGATGAGTTATTATATTTATGTAAAGGTGTTGAACTTGAAAAGAAAAAAAAAAAAACTGAAGTCTCACATGGACCTAAGCAAGTGGTGTGTACAATACATTGTTGCCCATGGTTGCATATCACCAACACCCTCTTCTCTGTCCTTGTCTGTAAATAAGCAGAAGGGTGTGGGGATGGGGTATGTTGTGTGTGGGGGTTATTTGAATATGCTTGCTGAGAGGGCAGGTGAATCTCAAGGACTTTATTTTCTCATCTTAGCTATATCAACTCAGGGCTGTGCAGGTAACCAGGAATCAGAATTTCTTCTTCCTTCAAAATACCATTCCTGTCAGCAGAATTTGCATTTGTTTGCTTGCCATTCTCCAGAGCCTGATACACCAACTTGTGTTTCCTCTCAGGTACTTAAGATCTCAAGGTACAAGGGTGAGTGGGACAGGTTCATTTTAGGACGCCCTCACCACCACTGTTGCATGTTGGAATTCTTTTATATACTCATCCAGGACAACAAGGGAAGTTGGAAGGTTGTAATCATTGAGGAAGTTAGAGGAAGTGATCTGTGTAGCAAGTGTTCCTCTCATGTTTGCATGGTGCTCAGAATCAACTGTGACAGAAAGGAACTAAAGCTGCAAGCTCTCAACTACCCTAGAGGTGGAAAACAAATTTCTTCTTGTCACTTGTATTTGAAGTAGTGATACAAGTTAAGATCTCCTCAAAGGAATAGACATTGTCTGGGAATATTCTTCCAACACATATACTGAAATCTTCAGCAAACTATATCTTGAAGTCACACATCAGATTTCTCATGCCCCTGTTCCACCTCTGTTGTCTTGCTGTGAGCTGGTTTTTCACTGACCTCAAAGTGTATGGTGTTCCAGGAGTCCGTGACCTTCCAAGATATTGCTGTGGATTTTACTGAGAAAGAATGGCCCCTGCTGGATTCTTCCCAGAGAAAACTATACAAAGACGTAATGCTGGAAAATTACAGCAACCTGACTTCCCTGGGTAAAGCTATCATCCTTCCCTCATCTGTTCAGGGATAAGATATTTTATCTACTATTTAGTTTGACCCAAGACATAGATGGGTTTGGAACAAAACTAATAACAAGTAGAACTGGTATTCACCCTCATAGGTTCTCTGGAATTGAAGGAGATTGATAGATTAGAATACCTAGTGACCTCATCAGGCCTCTGAACATGGGCAAGCACACATATAGAAATTTTAATTTATTAAAATTAACAAAATTTAAAATTACAAAAATATATTTTTAAAATTTTTCATTCTTGTACGGTGGTGAACTCAGTGGTAGATAATGCAAGGCCTTGGTTTCCATTCCTAGCATTTTAAAACAAATAAATAAAAACTCCACATCCTTTTGGATGTCAAAATGTATGTTTGGGTTTGTTTTTTATGGAAGATTTTTACTGTGTTCCTTAGAAATGTGACACCTTCATTTTGCTGCTCCTAAGTCAGCTTTGTCCACCTTCAGAAAACCCTGAAGGTCAAATTGTCTAATGAACTGGTTGTCCTCTGCATGGTCCTTCAACATGTGTCTTTCCCCATGATTAGGGTATCAGGTTGGCAAACCCAGCCTCATCTCACACCTGGAGCAAGAAGAGGAGCAGAGGACGGAGGAGAGAAGTATTAAACTGGGTTCACCTGGTGAGTAAACACCAGACACACAGATGTGATTTTGGTTGTCAGAGTGGAGAGAATACATTGTTGCAGATTGCATTTGTGTAGCAAGCACAAAGTAACTTAAGGGACAAAGAGTTTATGTGGTCACAGTTTCAAGGTGCTCTCCCCCATGGCAGGAATGACCTGGCAACAGGAAGGTGAAGTGACTGATCACTTCCAGAAGTAAGTAGAGAGGGAGGAAGGAAGAAGATATATATATATATATATATATATATATAGAGAGAGAGAGAGAGAGAGAGAGATGCTATAATCATCTCACTCTGTCCTTTTTATTGTCTGTGCCTCCACCTCCATCCAGCCTGTGGGATACTGCAGCCCATATTTAGGGTGGGTCTTCCCCCTCTTCAGTTAAAGTTTTCTTAGAATCATTTATATACATGTACTCAGGGTATGTTTCCATGGTCAGACTAATAAAAAACTAATATCACATGGTGAAATAGGAAGCAAGGCAGGTAGGAGAGATCAGTGTTGTTGTTATGTAACTGTCCACTATTTGTCTCTTCTTTTTTTTCCAAGCCCAAGTTGGTCTTGAGCTCATGATTTTCTGGCTCAGCCTCCTGAATGCTGGGGTCATATGCATGGGTTATTGTATCTGCCTTTAGGAAACAACCTTCTCTTACAGGATGTAGTTAACTTTCTAAGACCAACACTGATTCCACTTAAGGACAGTGTGATCAATGTCCTAATTACCTCACAGTAGTCCCTATCCTTTAAAGTTCTGCCACTTTATTGTCCCTATCCTGAGGCCAACTCTCTTAAGACAGAAGAATCAAAACATTAATGTACAAGTACATTCAATAATGTTAAACTAGGAAATAAGGAAAAGTTCTTTGTCTTAACACCCATCTGCTCTTTCATGAACCTTTTGATCTGTAGTTTGACATTTACTATCATTTTATCCATTTGTATGTTCTTCCCTTTTATCTTGCCTTTACCATATATATCATTAGAATTTATAAAGAAGTCTACTTTTCATTCCCATCATTTCACTTTCTTTTTGAATGAGTCAAATTTCGCTGTGTTTTCTTTCAGATTGGGGAACTCAATCTAAAGTCAAGTGGTCCATTATTATGGAAGATATTTTGGGAGAGGAAGCATGTAATAGAGTGACATTGGTAAGATTTCCTTAGGCTATATCTTTGTCTTTCTGGAGAAGGCCAAGGCAGTCACCAGTCAGCTGACTGAAGAACTAGTGACCAACTTTACAGAAAACCTGAGTTCCAATGAGCTGGTTCCAGTGAGCTCCCTGTGGATACCAAGCTCTAAGAGTGCTTAATTTCTTTATATAAAATGTCACTTTGTGTTGACTGCATAGGACTGCCCATATCTTGGTATATGTTCTACATTATTATTATTAGATTGCCTATAATACCTAATACAGTGTGGTATGTAAAATGTTTAAATAACTTTATTATTGTATTGTTTAGATAATGATTGTTGTTCTTTTGCTGCGCAGCTAATGCCTAAGAAACACAAACATGAGACTCAGCGCCCACGTGGAGTTTATTGAGAGAAGGGAGAGAAAGAGGGGGTAGCTGGTGGCCAACCAAAAGCAGGAGAGAGAGAGAGGGAACAGAGAGAGAGCAAAGAAGCAGAGAGGCAGAGAGAGAGAAGCACTTGGCGTGCTTGCTTTAAAAGAGGCTTGTGCATGCGTAACTGAGTCCCTCTGGCCGCCAGGTAAAGCTGACATAGCGATGACACGGCCATGAGCATCCCGCCCATCATTGGGGCGGGGGTCAGCTGGCTGCTAGTTCCTAACAATGATGACAAAAGTTTATATGTTATAACTATATTAATATTAAAGTTATATTAATAACTATATCAATATAGTTATTTTTGTCTTTAAATAGTTTGGGACTGGGGTTACCAAAATCTTGATATGGAACCCATTAAGACTGAAATAAGACCCACTGTATTGTCCATTTGGGTAGGATCCCAAATCTAGCCCAAGACTTTCTACTTTAGAGTTTAGGTAAGTAAATATTTCTATAATGTGTAATGGAGCTTAATTTGGTTCTAAACAGTGAACAAAGTTTCTATTCAGAAAAGCATTATAGTGTTGTATACATGAAGCCTTATGGCACAGTAGCCACATTTTCTTCATTTATTTGTTTGTTTATTTGTCTATATACCTATTTATTTTTAGCTAAGGCAAGATCTTGTTTCATAACCCAGGCTAGCCTGGTACTCAAAATTCTTCTGCTTTAGTCTTCTGAACTATGATTATGAGTGAGTGCCACCACCAATTCAATCCACCTTATCCCTTTGATAAACCTCAAATGAAACAGGAACGATGACATCTTTGGTCATTCTCTTTGTTTGGGCATTATTGCTGTGATGAAACACCATGAACAAAGCAGTTTATTGAGGAAAAGGTTTATTTGGCTTACTCTTCCACATCCATAGTCCATAACTGAAGGAGGTCAGGACAGAAACTCAAACAGGAACTAATAGCAAAGGCATACTGCTTACTGGCTTGTTCCCCAAGGCTTGCTTAGCATGCTTTCTTATAGAACCCAGAACCACTAGTCCAGGGTTTCAGGCACTTAAAATGTGCTGGGCTTTTCCTCATTAATCACCAATTAGGAAAATTCCCTACAGGCTTGGCTACAATCCCATCTTACAGAAGCATTTTCTTAATTGAGGGTCCCTCCTCTCAAATGACTTTAGCTTGTATAATTTGACATAAAACTAACACAGTCATAGCAATGTGCTTCTGTTGTTGCTAATTTATTCAGAGGCAATATTTGAAGAGGCTAGGTCTGTAGACTAATGTTAAATCCCATGCTGTGTATTTACCAGGCCTTCAGTTCAACCATCAGCACCAAAAACATAAAATTAAATATGGGGTGTCATAAATACCAAAGTCAGCTCTCATGTCTTAACCAACAGGAAAAATCTCATCTTTTGGAAAAATCTTGTGAATTCACACATTTGTTTGAAGTCTGCTGTATCGGCCCTCACCTTCCTCAGCCAGTAGGAAGATCCACAAGCAAGAGACCCTATCACCATCACAGCTGTGGAGTTGCTTTCAAGAACAGGCCTCACCTGACTCAGCACATGAGCATGTATGATGGGAGAAAAATGCATGAATGTCACCAGTGCCAAAAAGCCTTCACTACCAGTGCTTCTCTTACAAGGCATCACAGGATTCACACTGGGGAGAAGCCTTATGAGTGCAGCAACTGTGGCAAAGCCTTCAACGACCCCTCCGCTCTAAGAAGCCATGCCAGAACTCACCTGAAAGAGAAACCCTTTGATTGTAGTCAGTGTGGTAATGCCTTCCGGACCCTCTCAGCTCTAAAGATACACATGCGAGTTCACACTGGTGAAAGACCCTACAAATGTGATGAGTGTGGCAAAGCCTATGGCAGGAGCTGCCACCTCATAGCCCATAAGCGGACACACACAGGAGAGAGGCCCTATGAGTGTCAGGACTGCGGAAAAGCCTTCCAGCACCCCTCTCACTTGAAGGAGCACATCCGAAATCATACTGGAGAAAAGCCTTATGAGTGTACACAGTGTGGCAAAGCTTTCCGGTGGAAGTCCAACTTCAATTTGCATAAGAAGAACCACATGGTGGAGAAAACCTATGAGTGCAAAGAATGTGGGAAGTCCTTCAGTGACCTCCTATCAAGGAGGAAACACATGAGGATTCACATTGTAAAGAAACCAGTTGAGTGTTGTCAGTGTGGGAAAACCTTCCGGAACCAGTCTATTCTAAAGACACACATGAACTCTCACACTGGGGAGAAACCTTATGGCTGTGATCTCTGTGGGAAAGCCTTCAGTGCGAGTTCCAACCTCACTGCACACAGAAAGATACATATTCAAGAAAGACGCTATGAATGCACTTCCTGTGGGAAGGTCTTTGGCGATTACCTGTCACAAAGGAGGCACAATAGCATCCATCTTGTCAAGAAGCGTGTGGAATGTCGGCAATGTGGAAAAGCCTTCAGGAACCAATCCACCCTGAAGACACATATGAGAAGCCACACAGGTGAGAAGCCATATGAGTGTGACCATTGTGGAAAAGCCTTCAGCATAGGTTCTAACCTTAATGTACACCGGAGGATCCATACTGGGGAAAAGCCCTATGAATGCCTTGTTTGTGGAAAAGCCTTCAGTGACCATTCATCCCTTAGGAGTCATGTGAAAATCCACCAGGGAGAGAAACTTTGCATCATTCATGTGGAAAAGGCTTCAGTGAGTACTCAGATGCAAAGGAAACCTGGTATTCTTTCATGAATGCTCTACATAGAGAACACAAAGTATCACATGGAACTTGGGGAAAATACAGTTTGTATAAAGAATTAGAAGACTTGAGTCAGCCCATGGGAGTCTTTGTAAGAAAACAGGGAATGAGAAAATTTTTGTATTGAGTATCAAGAAATGTTGAGCATACTTCATGATCTTAAACACACAAGAACTTAGGGAGAGAGTCTTCAGCTTGGGCAATTAGTGATAAAATCAACAAGAGTCTATCGGCACTCCAGAATAAATCTTTATCAGTACAGTAATCAGGGAAATCTTTCCTCATCTCACATTTGTTCCTCAAGGGAGAAATCAAAGTAAAGAGAAAAATCTCAGGAGTAAGAAACAGAAAAATCAATAAAAAGTGGTAAACAAATGGGCCGGCTATTTATTGTTGTCTCACAAGCATCTGACAAGTGATTCTGACATGCAACTGTTTGTAAAAATCTTTTTCAGGCAGTGTTGATTTTCAACCTGGGGCAGTTTTGCTCTCCAGGGCATTTGTCAGTGTCTGAAAATATTTTTGGTCTTGAGAATGGGGAGAGAGGTATTACAGATATATAGAAAGATAACACTAGAGATGCTACCAAATAACCTACAATACACAGAAAGCATCCTTGTCAAAAAATTATGTGTACTATGTTGACTTTGAGAATAATATCATTCATTCCTCAATCATATGACACATAATGGACACATTAGGAGAAATTTTTTGCAGTTTTTTAACAGAAGAAAAATTCAGTTATGTTTTTTTCTGGAACTGTGTGAGAACATATACAGCTGAAAAACTGAGAAAATGCTTTTAGCCATAGTCTCCTTGTGTATGAATGGAGGGTTCTAATTACAAGTCTTTCATGTGACAACAGATTTGACCTCTTTAATTTTCCTGATCTTTTTCTGTTTTAGGGTTATGGTCCTCTGAATAGGCCCCATCACAAATGATATGTATATGGTATTTTTTATAATAGCTTTGTTCCTATTAATTTCCCTTTGGGAAACTTAACTTGTTCTGGTGGTGTATTTAGAATTGTGTGATGCTATGCACTGGGTAATGTGGGTATTTTTGGTACCTGTATCATATGCATTGTGGTCAAAGCATGAAGCTTCCTAATGTAGATCCTTTGGTTGCTTGAGGCTTTCTGTCCAAAAGAATGACAAAGACCTCTAGTTGCTTCTCCACTATACTACCTTGCTGAATGCTGTCCAGAACCCATACCCCTTTCTCTAGGAAGCTGATCACTGCTACCTTTAAGTGAGTATTCTTGGAATTATTAGATTCTGATTTTTTTTTTTTTAATTTTGTTTGTTGAAACAGGGTTTCTCTGTATTGCTTTGGAGCCTGCCCTGGAACTAGCTCTGTAGAGCAGAGCCTTAAATTTACAGAGATCCACCTACCTCTGCCTCCTGAGTACTAGGATTAAAGGCGTGTGCCACCAACACCTGGCTTAGATATAGATTTTTATGTACTATTAAGTCAAGTTTTTATGTAACATTTCAAGTTATTGCCTTGCTATGCTTTTGATAACTATGTATAGAACAAAGAACTTCACATCACAGTAAAAAAATTATGTCATTCTATCCTTAGATCCAGATTCTCTCAACAGTGGGGTGAAGTCCTATTATTTCCATTATAAATTTATAAACATGAAAATCTTTTTTTTTGAAATTTTTTTATTATTTTTTTATTTTACATGTCGATCCCAGTTCCTCACCCTCCCTCCCTCTTACCTTCTCTCCCCCCTCCCCTCCTCTCCCATCCCCCCACCCAATTCCACATGTAGGACAATGCCATCCAGGTGGGTCATATGAATCTGTCAAGTCATTTGAAGTAGGGACTAGGACTTCTCTCCTGTCTCTAGCTAGGCTAAGGGAATATCCCTCCATGGGGGATGTTCTTAACTGGACCTAGCAGCTATCAGTTTTCATAAAACCCCAAAGAAGCAAATACTATCAGCATTTCCATTTCACATGTATGACATTTGAGACAAGAGAGTTTAGTTTACCTAAAACCTGCTTGTTGTTTTAGGATTTAAATTCTAATGCCACTTTTATGAGCTCATTATTCTTTAATACCTAAGACTGAAAGCAGTGACTCAAAATACTTACTGTGGTGAGAATTTCCTTCTAGTTGGTGTCAGGGCATCATGTATTTGTTGTTGTGTATCAGATAATAGCAGCTAAAAAGAAAATGTTATGTGTGATGCTGAGAGGAAATATATAGCACTTGAGATTAGAAAGTCTATTTTTATTTAAATAACACCTTTTTTTCATTTATTTTACATTCCCACTGCAATTTCCCCTCCCTCCTCTCCTCCTGGTCCCCTTCTACACCTCCATCTCTATTCAGAAAGGGCAGGTCTCCTATGGACTTGAAGAAAGTTGAGGCAGGACCGAGCTCCTCCCCTTGTATTGGGCAAGGTAATCCAGCATGGGAAGCAGGTTCCCAAAAGGAAATGCTTGAGCAGAGATGTGGTAACTATGTGCCTTGTATTCTGAAGAACAGATTCCTTGGCAATTCAAAACCATTAAGTACTAGTCTTGATGTAGTTACTCAGCAGCCAAGGACCTAATATGACCAGTACAAGCTTGAGGTTAAATATGGTGTTAGAGTATACCAAGAATCGTGTCTGAATGAATGCCTGTTAGTCTTGGTAAAGTAGGAAGACAGTGGATAGTTTAGTTTTGCTTAATTGTTTTAAGACAGAGTCTCACTGTCTTCCCCAAACTGGTCTTGAAATATTGATTGTCATTCTCCATCAGCCTCCCTGATGGCTGAGACTACAGTCCATTGGGGCATTGGTAGAAGGCTTGATAAATTCCCATTTGTCTTTTCTCAAAAGAGAATACTGGCTTCTAGGTTGATAAAATAGGAAGGAGCAGGGAACCCCCAGAAACTAGTTATAAAGACTTTCAGAATTCATGGTAGATACAGGGAAGACAACATTAGTGATAGGTATAATGGGAGTAAGTCACATTGATCAATGATCTGTGGTTTCATTTTTCCCCTTGAGACAGTGATCCTGTACTATTTCACAGGGTATGAAATTGTTGGATGATGACAATAAAATACCAAATTCATTTTTTAAATATGAAATTTATTTTATGTATATGAATTTTCCTTCCATGGATGTATGTGTACCAGATGTGTGCCTGGTACCTGCAATGCCAGAAAAGTTTGTTTCCCTGGAACTGGAATTATGGAGATTTGTGAGCAGTTATGTGAATTCTAGGTATAAAACTCAGACCATTTACAAAAGCAGCAAGTTTTAACAGTTTGCCATCTCTCCAGTTCTGTCAAGTCATTTCCATAGTGGTGGTAAAAATGCACTGTGTGTGTTTTAAAACAAGTTTTATAAATCACACAAGAAAGCACTCAGTTACAAAGCTGAGTTAATCATTACATGAATAACCCATGTGATCACCAGGTCAAGAAATAATTACCAGAATCTTTTTTGACCACCTCAAATTAGCGTTCAGTTTTCCTTTGTTTTCTTTAATGTTTGTGTCATAAATGATATTTCATCTTCCATTGCTTATATTTACTCTGTGTGTATGATAATTAAATCTGTATCTTAATTGTGTAACATTCACTACATTCCTTCATATTTTAGTTGATTTTAATATTTCTTCTTTGAAATTTTCCATCAATATTACTCTGTTGGGATAACCTGTTTGCCAACCTTCTTCCCTTGCAGATTTTATCATCTGGCTGTGTTGGCTACTACTGTTGGTAGCAGAGACAGTGTGCATCTTTGCTTTTTCTTTCTTTTTTTTTTTTATAACCAAGACTCTGAAAGAAACAATTAATAAATGGGACCTCTTCAGACTTAGAAGGTTCTGTAAGGCAAAGGACACAGTTGACAAGACCAAACGGCAGCCCACAGACTGGGAAAAGATTTTCACCAATCCTATATCTGACAAAGGGCTGATCTCCAAAATATACAAAGAACTCAAGAAACTAGTGAACAAAACACCAAATAACCCTATTTAAAAATGGGGTACAGAACTGAAGAACGAATTCTCAATAGAGGAAATCAAAAAGGCTGAAAGACACTTAAGAAAGTGTTCAACATCCTTAGCTATCAGGGAAATGCAAATCAAAGCATCTTTGCTTTTTCTAAGTGTGAAATATCTCTAGTGTTTTCCATTAATTGTGGTAACACTTTTTAGGACTGAGACATTTAGTTTCATCCTCCCAAGTACCCCCCCCACCTCTCATTCATTCTTAATCCACCAGCCATGTGGTAACCCTATTTCAGAAACTTAATAGAAGCTTCCCATCAGCAGCTAAGTAGGTAGTCAGCTACCCATCAGCAGCTAAGTAGGTCTGTGCTGATGCCCACTGTGAAGAGAGTGTTCACACTGCTCTGTAAGGTCTGTTACTTAACTCTTTGACTTTGCTACATGAAAAAAAAAGCAGCACATACCAGGATTTCTAATCTGTTTTTAAGATAGATGATCACAGGAACAGGGACTAAATTCTGAATTTGGTGGTGTGTATGTTAGTTGATTTTTTTTTCCTATTGATAAGTTGTTTGGAGGTACTCATAGTACCTTCTCAGTAGCCTTGCCATGTGCTCTATCACTGAACTAGACACCTAATCCTATAAACTTCAAGTTTCTACCTTGTGTTTCATTAACATTTACCTTTTGAGGGCTCTTGGCTTATCATTTGGTTTCACACCCTCCTCTATACCATATATTAGGTGTCAGTGTTGTTCTTCACAAGAGTTAGCACAGAGGAGACACACTCTTTATACATTTATCCTAAAACAGGGTATGAGATTTGAAATAGAGTTAGTAGTCAAGAAGACATGTGCCCTTCTTAGGATTATACTTGGGTGGCTGTTTGAAAACATCTGTATGTTACACTGCCTTTCTCTTTTGTAGAAAACCTTGGGGAATATCAGCTATTTATTGCGGGTTTGGTTGTGAATATATTGGACTGTAGATTACCCTGAATTCATCCTCTGCTTTCATCTAGAACTGAAATTAAAGATCTGTACTATGGCATATGGT